TTGCTAAAGAAGATTTTGGATGATTCCAGAGCAATGCTGCTGACAGATGGCCTGTAGCTATTTTCTAGCTAATGTGGATAGGAAAATAGTCTAAAGACAGGTGTGAAATTATAGGATTCCTGATTCATGGTTTTAATAGGGAGGGGCATTTCACATTTGGGGTATAAAGTAGATATAAAGTCTCATTAATATTCTATTGTGATACACAGACCTGGACATCATGGGTTCATATTTGGTCTTCTCTTTTTACTATATGTGCCCTCATGAGCTAGTTATCTAATGTGGAGACTGTGCCTCAGTGACCTCATCCATAAAATGGGGGTAATAGCACCTGCCTCATAGGGTTGTTGTGAGAATTAAATAAATTAATATACAAAGTGCTTTAAGAAGTCCCTGGCTTACCATCGGCTCTATTTAACTGAGCAATTCAGTGAAAAAAAAAAAATCGCAGTAGCGTATTTTGCCACGTATAATGTGCTCCCGTGCATAATGTGCATCTACACTTTGGGCCCAAACTTTCAGGGGAAAAAATCTTTCGTTTTAGTTTTTTAATTCAATTATTTATATTTAGAAACAAAACAGATTATCATATTACAGGGTTTTATTTTGCATACGGATATCGTTATTGCTTTCTAGAGTTACACTTTTAATACATATGCATAAATAAAAGAATTAAAAACATTTATATAGATATGGAATTAGTGCTACCCATGTATAATGCACACTCTTATTTTTCCCTCAAAAATTTGGGCCAAAAAGTGCGCATTATACACAGCAAAATATGGTAATTAAAAAGACCTCACTGTTCCATATACTTACCCTTTTAAGAGTGTCTGACCAAGAGGAGTAATAGTTTAATTTTCCTAAAAACAAACAAACAAAAAGGAAGTCACTGTTGTCTACTCATGTTCTCAATACCTCTCATTGCTGCATCTTTGTTTTTATTTTATTTTTAAAGGTTTTATTTATTTTTAGACAAAGGAGAAAGGGAGAAAGAAAGGGAGAGAAACATTAATGTGTGGGTGCCTCTCACATGCCCCCTATTGGTGACCTTGCCTGCAACCCAGGCATGTGCCCTGGTTGGGAATCGAACCCATGACCCTTTGGTTTGCAGGCCAGCACCTAATCCACTGAGCCATACCAGCTATGGCTGTATGTTCATTTTTAAAATTTGTGTTAACCCAGTCACACTACCAAAGCATCTTTTGTGAGATTTTTAAAATTGATTTTCTTGAAAGAGGAAGGGAGGGAGAGAGAGACAGAGGGGGTAGACAGACAGAGAAAAACAATGATTTGTTGTCCCACTTATGTGTGCATTCATTGGTTGATTCTTGTATATAAGTCGAACCCACAATCTTGATGTATCTGGAGAATGCTCTACCAACTGAGCTCCTAGGCCAGGCCAGGACTGTTTTTGAGTTTATGAGCTTTTTTTTTCTTTTCTTTTCTTCTTCTTTTTTTAATAAATAAGAACCCAGCATCTGCACGCACACCTGGCCAACCATGAGCAGTCATTCTAGCAAAAAGCTTGCATTAACATTTTGCTATTTCACAGCAGAGAATGTTGATCACATGACTTTAGCTACCCTGTGCTCATTTCTGCCGTTCATCTAACATCAGGTAGCGCAGTCCCTGACACACAGCTACTCCACCTATAAACAGTTCTGAGTGAAAAGGTGGTAGGTGAGGAACTGAGGGCTGGGGTATCATCTCATTTTGCCCTTGCTCTTAAAATAACCATTTTATAACCTCTGGATTGTGAGTGTTTCAATAAAGTGTTAGTATTTCATATGATTTGCACAATAGTCCCTTTAGGCAGAAACTTTTTCCCATTTCCCTGACAGGAAAGTTAAGTTTGGTGAGAGGTTAAATCAACTTCCCCAGTTCAAGTTTGCAGAACCCCCACCTGGATCATCTGGTTCTGAATCCTGTAGCTCCTCACCTCCCACCCCCAAAATTGCTTCTAGCTGCATAACCTTGGCAAATGTCTTATCTCCTCTAAACCCAGATCCTTTTGACTAACCTTGTGGTTGGGGTTTAGGTCATCTTTCCAGGTATGGGTTTTCTAAGAATTTAAATATCCTGAAAAAAAACCAGAAAACAACTCTGCTAACTTCCATTTCTTCTCTGACACTTCCATTTAATTATTTCAGACCCTGACCAACATACTTTCCAGGTAGATAAATATTTTGGTTCTCAAGAAGAAAAACCAACCCACTGTTTATGCCAAGTCATGGCACGGGCCCTGGGAGCAGCAAAATATGTTTTGCTGTGAGAGTAATGATAGGGTAGTCCCTTCCTACGTTTGACTGACTCTACTTAATGACAAGTCAGCTACTCCAGCGGTTCCTGTCTTCCTGGTTTTCCCTCTTGTTCTTATGTCCCTGGTTTCTGAACTAGGGTAGTGGGTATGAAATTATAAAAAACTGACAATGATCAAAAATGGTGCCCTCAGTCCTATCCCCCTTTGGAACTCTCCAGGTCCTTTGAGCCATCTTGGCATTAATCCTCCCAGGAAGCTAGCATTACTCAGCTGATTCCAATCTTCTGTGGAGTTCTTCAATACCCCTTCTGCCTGCAAATGGACTTTATGGCTAATGCAGATGTAATTCCACCAAAGGAAGAAGAAAACAGGCTAGCACAGAACTCTGGAATAATTGAATCCAGGCCTTCTTGGTAGGCCTCAAAGGGCGCTCATATTGCTTTTCTAGTAGCTGTGGTGGCCTGGAAATGAACTCTACACTCGAGTCAAAAATCTGAGAGTGATGCCTGATTTTTTAAAAAAGATTTTATTTATTTTTAGAGAGAGAAGAAGAGGGGGAGAAAGAGAGTGAGAGAAACATTGATCAGTTGCCTCTCTTACGCACCCTGACCGGGGACCCAACTTACAATCCAGGCCTGTGCCCTGATATGTGCCCAGGAATCGAACCAGCAACTCTTCACTTTGCAGAACAATGCCCAACCAACTGAGCCACACCAGTCAGGGCATGATGCTTGATTCTCCTTTTTCCCTTCCATGAAGCTCCGGTGTATCTGTAAGTCCAGGCAATTTCATCTGCCAACTTACCTAAACCTGTCCTCTTTTCTCCATCTCCAGTACCCTAGTCCAATCTATCTCCATCTCTTGTCTAGACTGTAAACAGTCTCCATTCTCTTCTTCCTTACTCATTATTTTCCTCTGCAAGATACTCTTTTAAAAAGTTTTATTGTGATATGATTTGCATACCATACAATTCACCCATTTAAAGTGTACAATTCAATAATTTTTAGTATATTTACAGAATTGGGCAACCATTACCAGAATCAAATTTCAGGATATTTTCATTATCCCCAAAAGAAATCCTGTATCAAACCCTTAGCTCCCCAGTCCTCAATCTACTTCCTGTTTCTAGAGGTTGATTTACCTGCTCTGGACATTTTATATAATTGGAATCAAACACTACATGGTATTTTTTTCCTTCTGGCTTCTTTCACTCAGCACATTGTTTTCAAGGCTCATGCAGTTGTAGCCTCTGCCAGTGCCTCATTCTTTTTTATTGCCAAATAGTATTTCCTTGTATGGGTATACAACATGTAATTATACATCATGCAAGGTATCCTTTTTACTCCTCATAATTTCCTGCTTGGTTTTGAACCCAGTGATGAAGATCAGGTGGACCACTGTAGAACTCAATAGGCATGTATTCTCCCTGCTACCCCTTCTGCTGCCAAAGAGTCCTTTCTGCCATCCCCCAAGTCTCTAGAGAGCTGGAGAGGATTCCTTAGACTCTGATGAGTGTCTATTAGCATTTGTGAAAATTTGTGTGAATAACAACACCTCTTCAGAATCTGGGGGTGACCAGGGGCTAGAACTGAACCATACTGAAGTAACTACTTCCTCTCTTTGCTTACTTCTTTCTTCCAGAAGGAATTTAACTAGTGGGTAACCTTCAAGTGTATGAAATGCTTGAGGGGATCCAGTCACATTCCACAAATATTCCCTGAGCACTTGCTGTGTCCCAGGCAGTTGGGATACCCCAGTATCCCAAACATCTTTTGTGGGCAGGGATATGGACAGTAAATAAACTGAAGAAAAATACAGAAAAAGGAGATAGAAAGTTGGCAAGTGGGACAGGAACAATTTCATGGTCTTTTAGCGTAAAATTACATCCTAACTTGAGACAGTCACTTAGACATACAGGAATGTAGAGATGTGTATTCTTTTCCTGAATTCTCTCATTCACCCATACTGCCTTGGTTGTCATGGAAAAGTTGAGATCCTAAATCACCAGTCTCTCAAGGATCGGAGTGAGGTGATAGCATGGAAAATAATCCGCTGAGTGTCTCCAGGAATGAGGGAGATTCTAGGTGAACCATAGCCAGACTGGGCTGAGGGAAGGGAATAGGCTAATGCCAAATAAAAGGTATTTGGACTGGTTTTGAGGGACTAAACTTTTCTGGTTGGTGAGAAAGTAAGTTCTCTCAAGTTAGGTATTAGGTGAATAAATCATAGATCGGTTTAGGGGTGCTAAATAATAACAGAAACTGCTAGCAGGGCCTTGACTCCTCTCTCTGTTCAGGGCCCTCTTCTAAGCAGCGTAGGGCAACATCAGCTACTTGCCCAAGGTCACAGGCTGGGAGCAGGTTTTCGGCCCCTACCTCTGACCACCACTCTGGCTCTTTCTGGCTGACCAAATCCCCGGGATAGGACAGATTCCGGGGCACTCACCCTCCTAGGGTTGGGGGCTCTGGATTACCCACACTGAGGGTCTCCGGGCCCAAACAGACCTCGGGGCTCAGGGGCAGGCACCGAAGGCCGGGGCTAAGCGCGGTGGGCATCGCTGGGGACCGCTGACCTAGGAGGCAGCGGTGGTGGCGGGCGGGCCACTCTCGGCTCCACCTCCTCTACTCCGCCTCCTGTTCCCGCCTCCGCCCCGCCCTCCTGCCGGCGTCTGCCCGCCCATCGACTCTCTTCGCTCGCTAGCTTGCTCTCGGCCCCCCATGCGGATGTGACATTTCAGGCCGCCGCCATTTTGAGGACGAGCCGAGCCGAGCCGCCGGGCGCCGCGTCCGCTGCCGAAGCCCCAACCACGACGCCGAGGACGCGTAGGCCCCAGCCCCCAGAGCGCGCCCGGCCCGTCGCCCGCCTGCGCCGCCGCCGCCGCTCCCGCCGGCCCCAGGCCCCGCAGGCCCGCAGCACCAGGCCAGGCCTCCTGCCCGCCGCGCCCGGCCCGAGGCGGGGCTGACTCCGCGGCCCCCGCCCGGCCGCCCTCCGCCCCCGGCCGGCCCGCAGCCCCGCAGCCCCGGCCCCGGCGGCGGGAGGCGGGCCCCGCGGCGGCAGCGGCGGCGGCGGCGGCGGCCGCATCCAGCGACGAGGCCACCCGGCCCGGCCCGCCGGCCGTCCGCCCGCCTCGGCGCCGAGATTGGGCGAATCGCGAGCAAGTACGTGCGCGTCTCCCTGCCGCCGCCGCCGCCGCCGCCCGCCGCGGGCCGCCCCGGGGCCACCTCCGACGACGCGCGGGAGGAGGAGGAGGAGGCCGCCCCGCCGCCGCCGCCGCCGCCGCCGCCGCCCCGGCTCGCCGTCTCCCGCCCGCCGGGCTCGCATCCCCGACCCCCGGCCGCAGGCGAGGCCCAGGCCGCGGCCGACATGAACCACCAGCAGCAGCAGCAGCAGCAGCAGAAAGCGGGCGAGCAGCAGCTGAGCGAGCCCGAGGACATGGAGATGGAAGGTGAGGCCCGCGGGCGGCAGCGGCGGGGCTGGGAGCGCCTTCCATTGTGGCCGGGGGGAGCCGCGGGAGCCACGCGGGGGGCTCGCCATCTTTAAAGCAGGCCCGGGCGGCTGGCCCGACCCGGCGAGGCTGCAGCGTCATGCCGGGCCAGCGGGCCCCCGCCCCGCTCATTGTCCGGACACCGGGCGGCCTCCCCGGCACAAAGCGCTCGGAGTTGTAAATTAGGGCGCTCCGCCCGCGGAGCGACGCAGGCGTTTTCTCGCTGCTGGCGGCTGCCCCGCCGCCCGGGTGGGGAGCTAGGCTCCCGGGACCGTCCCGCTTGTCGGGCGTCTCTGGGGCCTGCTGGTCTGGCCTGGTTTTGTCTGGTAAGCTCGGAAACTCGATCTCCGTGTACGCGGAGCTCGCCGGCACCTGCTCCTCCGGTGCGCTCCGGAGAGCCCACCGGGATTAGCGAAGGTCCCACAGATCGCTTTAAAACACTTGCCAGAGTCGGGCTTCGTTTTGAAACAGCTGCCAGGAATGCAGATGTTCTCAGCCTTTGGACTGGCCCAGAGTTGGGAGCCAGGCGCTCGCGGTTTGTAAGTTAACTGCGTTTCGGGGAGTTTGGTCCCCTGCTGTGAACGGTGCAGTCAGCATCCGGCCAGGTGTGTGTTTGAAACTACGCGAAAGCCCCGCCACACATGGCTGCGTACATCCGCATCAAACCTGACTCGGAAGGTAACTAACTTTCTGCCCATGGGGCAGCCCTTTTCCAAGGTACTGTACTTTGAGGTTTAAGGTCTCGATTAGAAGGTTTGTAGAGGCACTGAAAGGGAAAGGAAAGAGTCTTTGACTTACATTAGCCCAAGCAGAGTTGGTCATTGGAAGGCATTTTTCATTTCTTATGGCGCCAAGTATAAGAGGGTAAAGTCAAAACTGTCTTAAAAGTTTCCTTACACCTTGAGAAGCCAGACTGGCAGCTGTCAAAGGGGGGCACTTAAATGAATCTGGCATTGAATGTTTCGTTCTTGATTTGCTTTTAGCAAGGGATCTTGAGTTGCATAAATAAATGGAGGTACTAAGGAAACTGGGGAAAGAAGCTCTTGTCGTGTGGGGTGGGCTGCACGCATCCGGCGTCGTGAGCTGGTTGGTGGGAATACTTACCATGACTGATACTCCCCTGTGAATAACTTACTGTCAATAATTGGATGTTGACTGAAAAACTGGCTTGCCAAATTGAAAAAGGCCAAGTGGCAGAGGTGCCTGCAGAAAGCACTTCCCAGTGGCACTGACAATGGCAGTAATGGGGGCAGGAGAGCCGAGCCCGCGCCAAGGACTGGGCTATCTATTTCATTTGGCCCCAGTAAGGCGTCGCTTTTGCAGAGCTTTTGGCTAGTGTGATTCATCCAATAGCTGAAAGGATACATTGCTGGGAGAATTTTGTATATTCCTTTGACGCTACATAACAAAAAGGATAGCTTTTCAGTTTCTTTTTCAAGTATTACCCAGTCAGGACAAATCCAATACTGCTAGCATATCGATTTCCCACCTACATTGCCTTACCTCTTTTCAGGTGTTTTTGAATACTAATGAAAGAATTAATAGTAAGCACGGAAATCACTAAAGAGTGTATGCAGCACGAAACTTTGTCTTTGGGAGAAATGTTCATGTCCACAAGTTTCAAGGACTTTTCTATAACACTAGAGAATGTTGAGTAATGGAAGAATTTTCAGAAGTTTGTACCTGCTTCCAAGACTACATTATTTTCTTGTGGAGTTTTATTTTCATATCAGGGTTTGCATTGGAAAGGTCACCCCCCAAAATGATTCTTTTGCAGATTTACTAGAATCTCAAAGTGAATGGCAAATGTTGCAGTTAACACTGATTCCTGAAATGTAAGAAACTTGTTTCTTTTGAATGGGGCTCTCATTCAGATTCATCATCCAGAAGTACCTTGTCTTTGTCAGGCTTGGGGTTTTTGACACTCTGTGAGCACCCAGGTGTGTGTGGTTGAAAAGCTGCTTGTGTATTAGGCAGACTATTTCTGCCTTTCTTAGCCTTCCCAACTCCTAAAATATGGTTCAAAGTTTATATACAGTGTGGGGCAAAAGTAGGTTTACAGTTGTGAGTATGCAAAAGCATAGTTTATTCTTGTGTTATTATTTATCGTATTTTCCATATGACTAGCTGTAAACCCACTTTTGCCCCACCTGATATTGTAGTTTAGGATTAGGAAGATCCTGCTGAAAAGCCAGCAGGATGGGATTTAGTTCTTACGACGTCTTTTTGGCTCCATATGCCAGGCTATGATAGTTACTTGCACCTGTTTAGCATCTTTGCCTAGATTCCAGTAGAATCAGCAGCTGGAATCTCAGGTGGCTGATCAGCTTGAGGAAGGGAAGGCTTTGTCAGCTAGCATTCTGCCCGCCCCTCCTAGGCAGTGTGGTTTCGAAGAGTCTGGAAGACTGGTTTGGTTGGTTGTTTTTCCTGTCAGTAGGTCAGTGTTAGTATGAGCTCCTCCTGGTTCACTTTATTGGGGTTGCATTTGCTCTTGACTGAACTCCACACAGTCCTTGCATATCTGCTGGAGAAGAACAGCACTGAGGATTAGTTACGTTAAAAATTGCTTTCTCTGAGCAGTAAGGAAAGTTATGAAAGATGAAGGGGAGCGAGGGAAAAGATGGGGCATTTAGTTGAGGTCAGTACCACGTGCTTCCGGTAAGGCCTGAAGCAACCAATAACATTTCAAGTTGCAAGGCATATGGAGCTCCGGAGGTGGTAGCACTTGTAGGTCTGGCCAGGAATGAACTTGCTCGGCAGTTTATTTATTCACTAACTCAGAGGCGGTGCAGGCTGTTGAAAGAATGACTTGCATAGGCCTCTGCCCTGTAAGTACTTTGGTGTGAGTACTTTGGAGAGGTGATAATCTAGGCTGTGTTATGCCCTGTCAACAGGAAGTTTTCCCAAGGCCTTGTTTCTGCTGCATAGACTGGCTAGCACAAATGTAAATATCTTCATGTTTGTTCCCTGTTCTGTTTCTTCTGCCCTTGTGAGCAGTCTCTGTTTCTGAGCGTAATCTCTGAGACTAATTGGGACAGACAATTTTGTTTGACTTGTACAGCACTCAGACCACTGCTCTCAGGGACACCAAGCTGGGGGCAAATCAGTGAGTCAGTCATCTGCAGTTTCTGAAAAGTGACCACTACCTTCCATGTTTTTTGTTTTGGGAGGTAACAGTGGTGAGTTTCTTTTTCTTTCAAACTTGTGTGGGTTGATGGAGCTTTAAGTTACTTTTCTGCTAATGAAGGTTTGGGAGTAGAAAGTGAGTTCTCTTGCACACATGGACCCAATAAAAACAAACTTGTGCATTTTTTTAAATATGTAAGACGTTTCCTTTTCAAATAGCACTGTAATAAGACAAATAATATTCGATTTACCAAAAAGTCTGTTTAGTTATTTCTATAAAATGAAAGACACATTTTTCGTGTTCACCAATAAATAACTATTGATTGCATATTTTGAGAGTGTGGTCTGGCTTCTAGTGGGTAGAGGCCAGGGGTGCTGCTAAATGTCTTCCAATGCTTAAGACAGCCCCACAGAAAAGAATTATTGGGCCAAAATAATCAGTAGAACAAGAAACATCACAAACCACTTTTGACCTGTTGGATCAGTCGCAGCTCCATCATACAAGGCATAAGTTTTTTTTTTGTTTTTTGTTTTTGCATTTCAGTTGTGTTCTTACCTTTCATGAAATAATAAAGCATACTATACTAAAAATGTTGCATATTTTCTTCCATCTTCACTATTAAAATGGCTGCAAAAATTGTCACCAATTTTGATTAAAAAAATGCACACTGATAGGACACCTGTCACAATAAAATTAACAAAATTGTTTGGAATGAAGTGAAAGACAACTAAACACTATTAGGGCCATCATACAGGGAAAAAAATGAACTTTTTGGCCAACCCAATATGAGAATGTTGATTTTATTCACAAAGTGGCTTGTGTTGGTAAAAGAATTTTGTGAAGTTACAAAGTGAACTGCAACATGGAGAACTCAGAAGAAACATAGAAGAAATTAGGCCAAACCTGGAAACATAATCTGATGTGAGCCTGTCAGGTTTTGAACAGATTGGAAACTACTCCCACAGGCATCTTCATTTCAGGCTGCTGATAGTGATTATCTGTAAACAAATAAAAGATTGATATGGCAGCAAATATGTAAGAAGAAAGTAGGTACTTTCCCTTGTTTTTCGTTCTTTTGGAATTGGTTTTGGGGGAAGAGGCCCTTGAAAATTGTGGTGGGGCAGCATGGTGACTGAGATTACCGGTTTAGAGCCAGGCCTGGCTTTTAACGTGGACTTTGCCTTCTAATTGTTGTGTGACTTCATGCATGTTGCTTAAGCTATTGGTGACTCAGTTTCTTCATCCTTGAAAAGGAGGCCAATTCTGTCTTGCAAGGTTGTGAGGGTGAAGACAGCGTATGTAAAGTGCCGGGCACCGAGGTGGGAGACGTGCAGTCGATAGTATCGCTGTGATAGGCAAACCTCTGCACCTGAGGAAGGATAAAGGCTGCCAGACCCAGGTGGGGCAAGTTGATTTTTGGTGGTACGCAAGGACGTCCCAGGGTAATTACATCCTAGCATGAATTAGGAAGGAAACATAACCAGGCTCAAACTAAGCAATATTATTTATGAAATTTTGGGCTTGATGTGCCTAAATAGGTATTCAAGGCCAGTGGTATAAATAGTTTGAGAAAGATTAAGTGGATAATAGGGGAGGTGAGTGGATTTGGTGTGTTGTGACATTGGTACTGAAGCTTGGTCAACTTCACAGGGTTCTAGAGTATTCTTGTTCTTGCACTAGTGTTGGGTCTTCTAAAGATGAATTTGAGGTTGAGCATCAGGTTGAAGCAGGCAGCCAGGTCACCAAGCCTCCAGGCTTTCAGAGTTGGCCTTGAATTCTCTCTGGATCCCTATATCCCGTTACCACGCCCTTTTGGTTTTCCAGCACCGCCCTA